TGTTTTACAAGAAAGAGGGATTGATTCACCATCTGTGAGCTACAAAGTGAATAGGCAAAACAAATCCATCCATCATATGACAATGTCATTGCTCAAGGACACTTTGTACATGAGCGGTGAATGTTTTTATGTGCTCTGATAAAAGTACCAGCTGTTACTCTTACATGTAGCTTTTTTTCTACTGAGTAAAATGGGGAACATTTCAGTTGTGACCAATAAAAAAATTTGCAGATGAAAGAATTCCACCCATTATTTTACAGTTTAATGTTCAAGACCACTTCCAAGTACAAGTGGGGTTGGTTCCTAAAATGCTCCAAAGACAAAATGATGCCTGCACATTTAGACAATGAAAAATGACAAGTTGTGATTCCACATAAATTTTATGAGGCAATAAAAGTGCTGCATATTTCCCACGAGTCGTGTTTCCCCTTGATAACTTCCAGAGGAAAGCATTAGCTGTTTCCCATTCCCTAAAACACAGCAGAAAATGAGCCCAGGGCTAAAGAAATTGAAATAGCCTGCACCAGACAAATTGTACTTGTACAACTTTATAGGTGATTTTATGGAGCATAGCTCTAACTAGAAACTGTTAAGAAACTTTATTACAAACAATATACAACACTGGAAGACTAATAGATGTTCTATATACAAATTCACAGACAATATGTACCCAATAAAGTGATAGTACAGGTTAGGTGCAGATAGACATCAGAAATACCTGAGCAGCTCCAATTTTTACCAGCACTATACTGGTGGTATTTCAAGCCCTGTGAGCAAATGACTTACTATATCTGTTCGTGACATTCTGTTTGTCCTGCCTGCATTAACCCGTGCCCCCTGTGTAAGTCCTGTATGCAGGGCCATGCCTGTGTGATCAGCTGTGACTGTGTTACGACCGGCACACGTGTGAGAATGACTCTCCCTGCAGTCTGCACCACACCTTCAGTAATCCAGGAAATGCATGGATTACTGGCGACAAATTGGATTCCAGACTCTTCCCTCCACGTTTTATAACTCCTTCATTGCTCTGCCAGATTTACATGAAGTTCAATGTCACAGACGCTCCTTGGTTGCAATACTGAATATCATTTTGACCATCTGTTCATTTCCAGACCATGTACGTACAATGTAAGAGTTGCCTGCTTGCATTCAGCTAGAGTATTACACATGACTTGTAAAAGTAGGTTTCTGAATGCCACATGTAAGAATGAGGTAGATTCACTGAAACTCCCTGCAGGGTTTCCAAAAGTCACATCATTAATTTAAAAGTTCCATATTTGAGAATTACAGCCTTTGATTAATGACCTCGGATAGCTTCAAGTAAATGTCAAGTAAAAAACATTGCCAGCTGAGGACATTTGACAAACCAAATGTTTTCTGGTGAACTTCAATCAATCATTCTCTTAATGTTATTTCTAAAAGGCAACTTCAGATTGGATTAAGATGAATTTTGCAACCACAAAATGGTTTTCCATTGAACCTGGCGGTGCCAGAGTCTACGAACTGCCATGTTAGAGTCTCCAACGAGAATGTGTTCCCTAATAGTGACAGGTTCAGGTTCAAAGTGGAGGTAATTTGTCTCAGTTTACCCAGGGATTAGACCGGGGACGTCAGGTTGGTTTTCTGACTCAATCATTTCTGACGGTGCTGGGATTTGGTGAGCTCAACTCTCAGACTTTCTGGAGACGTGAAATAAAGTGCAGCCACTGTGTAATTTGTTTAGAGGACACCCAGGGATGGTAAAGAGGCAAGGGAGGGGAAAGTTCCTGCAGCATTTGCATACGATCAATGCCTGCACTCTGCATATGTTGTACATCACTGTAGTAAATGTACTCTACAAGGCAGAATACACTCAGACATATACCACTGGTGCCTCGGAGTTTAGGTTTTGGAAGTAGGAATGTGAACTCACCATGGTCCTTCCCACGGTTAACAATATAGATCTTCTCTGTGTCCTTCTCCTTATTTGCAGCATCTCCACAAATGATTCTCCCACTGTCAAAGGTACAGCGCCAGGGGTTGTCAAACCCGTAAGCGAAGACCTCCCAGGGCATGAAGGTGGAGTTGTAGAAGGGGTTGTCACCAGGGATGGCGTACAGACTCTGGCAGTAGTCTGTGTCCAGGTCTATCCTCAGGATCGAGCCCAGGAAATCACTAAAACAGTAAACCAGTCATACGATTTGAAGACTCAGATTCATTCTATTAACAATATAAAATTAATACATGTACACAACTGTATGCTTAAACAATTAATGTACAACTGTACTATGCTAAATTCTTGTAAAAAATCTGTCCATCTGTTCTACCTGTATGCTACAGAGTCTTTATTTGTTACAGTGATGTCTTGATTGTGTCCATGCTCTTGTCCAAGCAATCTTTGCTTGATGTGTCTTGTGGTGAGAAAATGCAGACTGCATATATTTAAGACTTCTTCCTAACCTGAGTCCATCAAAGTTCTCCTCGTCCTCTTCACTGACACCTCCGTTCCCCAGGAACAGGTAGAGGAATCCATCTTTCCCAAACAGGAGCTGGCCACTAATGCTGTTAGGGCTGGGCCAGGGGATCTCCAGGATGATACGCTCAGTGGTGGGGTCCAGTCGGTTGGGGTTACGTCTGTTCATGCCATACAAAGGTAGAAAATGTCGGTCAACAAATGCGATATCTTACTGAGGGACAACTGCCGTGTGAAAGATGTCAGTTAGCTTGAGGAATGAATTCACAGTGACTCTTCTTTATACAGTCAACAAACCATGTTATCTTGAAGCTGAGGCCTCGTTTGCAGCAATTGTATGCCTGGATTTCACTGAATTTATGACTTTTGACTGACTTCCTTAGACAAAAGCTTCCAGCAATTCCTTTACAAAGACATAAGACATTGTACAGACATTTTCATGTGTCATTGCTTCTTTAATGCACACTTCTCTGAATGTCAAAGACATTTTTCTGTGACTGAAATATAGACTTGTATCTCCATGCATGTATAGGTTTTCATTAGTGGTTTTCCTTAATCATAAATAAAGGAATTTCAAATGTAACTTGCATGTGAGATGTTACAAACCTTGTGACGGTGAACTCAGTGATCCTCATGACGTGGTCCCGCGGGGTGTCGTCCCAGCTGCCCTTGTCCACGCTGTACGACATGTACACCTTCCCGTTGAACTTGAACTCAGGGTGGAACGCCATGCTGAGCAGGCCCCTCTCATCTCCCATCTAAAGAGACAACACATTACTATATTTCACACAAAAAAATGTAACTTGCATGTGAGATGTTACAATGTTACAAACCTGGCCCCTCTCATCTCCCATCTAAAGAGACAGCACATTACCGAATTTCACATGAAACATCAGCAGAAAATAAAGGGTAGTCCAGTAGAGTCCAGTAGAGACAAAAATACTCTAACTTACCCAAACTATAACATTTTGCCCCTCTCTAATCCATCACACAACATATCGACATCAGGTAAAGAGATTCTAGGACACAAGAAAACAGTTACTCATTACAAGCAACTGGACAGATTTTGAAAACTGTCATAGGTTTTAGGCAGCATCCACTACTTTTTGACAGTGACTAACATAACCTGAAGTTGAACAGTGGCATTTATCCAAAAACTATCAATAGGGTGAGGTGAAGGTATCAATAAGGTGAAGATAAATTTTAGATAGTCCACAGGAAACAAAAAAAAAATTAAGACAATGTTTATGCCAATGAGTCAGTTAGCTCCTGTTGTTGAACTCACCTTACTCCCAGACAGGACTTCCTGCTCAATGTTGATGAAGGGTTCCTTCTGTATGCGGCCGTCGGGGGTCATGACCTTGACGATACCCGCCTGCTCCACGATGAACAGCCTGTGGGTGTGGTCAATGCTGGGGATGGCAGCCACAGGGTTCCTCAGGCCACTCACTACCTCCTTCACACACAGACAGTCTGACACTGGCTTGTTGCTATAGGAAAGGACAGAAAAGTGACTCAGTAATCAGGGTAGTAAAATAACACTTGTCATTCTGGCTTTCAATTAGTAGTCAACCAAGGAATACCTTACATCAAGGCTCTTCCATGTCTTGAACACTCACCTCAGCACAGCAGGCTTTTCCTTGACTATCTCCTTCTTGACTCCAGGCTCCAGCACATCGTCAGTCCAGCCTGCGTTAGGCAGGTCCATGTCATCTGGGACATCAAAGAACTCTGTACCTCCTGCTCCACCATGGGAGTCCTGGGGTGGCAGCTTCTTAGCTTTCATCTGTGGGAGATGAGAATGAAAATGAGCACCATTCATACTTATACCTGTAAAATGTTTAGTCAAAGTATTTTAATATCTGAGAAGTGACATATACTGTACCCGTTGTGCAAGTTTGTAAGTTTGAATGAGAATAATCTAAGTTGCAAAGCTGCAAAATTGGCTCCAATGCTGAGGACTTGCTATTTCTCTGTTAGTGGGTCTATGACTACAGTCATAGTGGTACAGTTCGCAGGATGGTACAGTTCCTTGTGCAGTAATCACTACTTCAAAAAGACAATAACTAGGGTTTGAATTCTAGAGATTTCATAGCTAAGGAGCAAACATACAATCATTAAAAGCTAGTGCCGAACCTTTGGAGGGTCAGTTTTCTTGTCCGCTGGCAGGGGAAGGTCCAGAGGCTTCAGCTGGTGGAACTGTTTGGCAGCCAAAACTTCAGCAAGCTTTACTCCATCCTTGGGTTCCATCTCCTCTCTCTCCTTCACTGCCATGTCCACTGGGCCATCAGGAACTGGTTTCGTGTACTCTTTCTCTGCTACCGGCTTCTTCTCTGGCTCTTCTAACGACCATTCAAACTTCTTCTTTGGGAACTGCTTTTCTTCCAACTCCTCAGAGTCAAAGTCCACCTCCTCAGACGACTGCATGCTGGTGTACTTGGAGTACTTTTCCCACTCCTCTGGAGTGAACTCTTTCTTGGCCTTGACCTTGCTGTGTTCAGCCATGACCACGGTGGGGGGGCGCTGGTAGATGGGCTTCTTGTCGCTGCCCTTGGGGTGCAGGTGGTGGGAGTGGCTGGGGAAACATGGCTTCCCCTTTGGAGCCGAGTTGGTGGCACAGAACTGGTCGATGTTCATGTCATCAAACAGACCTGGAAATAGATGATATTTTTTAACCACTTTTTATTCATGACAAGCTCAAATCGGCCTGTAGGCCACTTTTCACTGAAGTAATGGGGAAAGAGGTAAGGGTCAGACAAAATATGACATACACTGATACAGTTCATATCATTTAAAGTCCTAATAAATTTATACACATATTTTTACACATACATGGTACAAAATACATACATAAAACTCTTATTGAGAGTGAGAGCTGTTGTTAATGTAATATAAACTTTTAATTGGGTTTGTGTCACAAACCAATGCTGGGATTGGTACAATAATACGTGTTACCACAACCACGTTGCTATAGAAAATACCACTAGCCACAACTATACTTGGCAGTTCAGGGAACTTTTATCCCTTCTCATTTAACACGATAATCTTCTGCGGTCTGCTCTGCACAGATTTCATTATCAGATGGAAGCAATATGGTGGGGCGGCCTGATATGCCTTTTGTGTCTCACACATGAACGTCAATCAAATGCTTCCGCTAATCCCCGTAAATTAGGGGATTTTCGGCTCCCGCTAACGTTATCATAGTGTGCAGGGAGGGAAGTCGGGTACATACTAATGGGATTTGTACTTCTAAGGCATTTCTACAGGGGAAATATCTACAGGATTAGACAGTGGGAAAGCTGAGGGATTTGCATGTATGAATTGAGGCGGCTTCAAAGGAGCCCCTGGTGAATTCGGTGGCGTTGGGGTGAGGCGCTGCACTGTCACTGCAGAGGCGGTCCTTTGAATACTAATCAAGACACAACCCTCTCAACTCCTAACTAAAAAAATAATGCCTGGAAAGATTGTCAATATTTACAATGAGATTTCAAGTTTTAAGACAGTAAAACAGTTTCCAGACAGTAACTATTAAATACAATACACTATAGACCGGTGGTCCTGACCTTAGTGCTGAATTGCGGTTAGTTTTACATGTCACACTGGACAGGACTCTATTTCTTCAATATCTTTAAATCAAACATGTTTTGCACGTAATGACTTCACATGACTCATCTCATCCATGAAACTCTAGCCGTTAATTTGGTCTGCCATACTTGCTTCTTGCTCAACAAGAAGTAACCTGGGCTTTCAAGTGTAAACATTCCCCCACAGTGTCCATTTCTTATTGATTTTCCAGCAGTGAATAGACATGTCACCCCTGGAAGCCTGTCAGCTTGTGTTGGCAGCAGGAGAGCAGTGATACATCAGCAGGCTTTCCCGTGCCATCTCCTATTGATCCCGTCAAGGCCAAGACTAGCGCTGGCCAGTTGATGGCTCGCTGTGGGTGTCCGGTGATTTCACACATCATTACGTCCAATTGTTTCATTTTGTGGACTTCCCAAGGCCAGGGGTAGGAGGGGAAAGATAAGTGACAGGTTCAACTGCCTGCATGGGCAGGCTGCCAGGCTGTTTTGTACAGCGTACAATGTGTAAATCTATACAGAATAGAACATGAATTACGATGTCCCCAGTTACTGCCCATAAAGACTGTTTATGGATTCTTTTCAGTTAATGGTAAGATGGCTATCCCCAGAGTTAGATGATTAAGTCACCCACAAGTTGAATAGTACACTGATGTATATCTTTTATACCCTACATACAACAGCCTTTTTATTCATCTCTATACACACCATGCATGAGTCATTGCATATCGTTTGAAAAGTTCAGAATGGAGAACTAATAAATAAGATTTCCCTGGGACAATGTGGTTTTAAGTCACATTAAAAAACTCTTCACGTATTATATTGCAACTAACAGGCAGCAAATTGGTTAGTTTGCTTGTTATAACTTGTATTCTGTGTGGAACAGGATGCATAAGTCAAGCAGATTTGTGATTTGATACTAGATTTACTCAATTAACGTTGTGCGTGCGAACAAATCAGAGCACCTTGTTGTGCTGAGTTAAAACCAGAACAGAATAATGAGCAATCAATCACTTTCTGTACAAAATAACAAGCAACACAGATCACTTTTACCTGTTTTAACCACCTTTAAACTTAAGCATGCTATGAAATGATGAATCACTAATTATGAGCTACAATATTCTACATTCATAGAAAACTGTCCCTTGATATATTTCATAATTGCTTGCACGCATTTTATAAAGGCAAATATACCTCTAATACAGAAGTCTAAAAAACTGAAGTCCTAAGAAATCTAAGAAATGAGAGTGAATTTATTGTGCCCAAGTAGGTAGTACGACATGCAACACTGGCTGGGTTTGTGAAATGATAGGTAATTGTACTACAGAAAATCCTATAACCCAATATGCACCACCTGAGTGCCCAAGTGGATATGACTGATGATTATTACCAACATGTACATTAGCCTGATTGGGAAATGAATCTTCATTTGGGGATGGTGACAACAACATCGCCGAAGGTCGTTGGGACCACAGGTAGAATAACGATCAGGTATCAGAAAGCCATCCTTACATGAGGGTGAACCATTTGGCTGTGGGGGGATCACCAGAGTGACGAGGTTTGGAAGCGTATACGTAGTTCATGGCAGGAGTGACGGATGGATTACTCATTGAGCTGTGGGAGATATCGGTAGAATCGACTGTTCCCACATGATACACAAATGGTGGCACCTGCTTTAGGCCGATGCCTCATCTGTCACTCTCTACTAGAGTCTACCAAAATGTGTCTAGTAGTAGCCATGGAGATGTGTAGTCTTTTGAACTACTGGATTTCTTTCTATCAATGGCAAGGTTTCAACCAGGCACATACAGTCAAACCTGCCCAAGTGACCTCTTCAAGTCAGCCACCTGGCCATAACAACCACCTTTTCCCAACCCATAAGCATTATAATTTAGTAACCTGTCTAAGAAGGCCATCTGTCCAACAGGAACAGCACTTTGGGTGGCCTTATTGAGCAGGTTTGACTCTACATGTATTCACATAAGTAAGATTTTGACAAGTCTCTGCTTAACATTCATCCCTCATCCATTTGTACAATCCTGTACCAAACCAAACGTTAATGTAGTTTGAATCTGTTACCTTGCACTTTCTTAAGACAAGATGGCATTGTGCCATACATAATACATCAGTCAAAGGTCCTCCACACAATGCAGCAGGGACCCCCCGCCGGTCCCAGGACAGCTATTTTCCATTAGCAAGTTGTTCCACACCCCCAGGTACCGGATAGACGTGTCAGTCTGTTGCTATGACTGGCAGTTTGTCTGATTAATAGACCTTCTTTATTGGGTAGTATCTCTTGCAAAGCAGGAAACAAGTTGTCATGTTTCGATACTTGATTTTCACTCTCACATCCCGTCTTCGTTATTCTTCTGTCTGTATTCAAGTGAAAATAGCTAATACTGATGATAGCATACCTCAGTACCAGTCCAATTTATCTATTGAATTTTCAGAGATATCAATCTGCAGGACAAGTATGGCATGTTTGAGTGTTATTTACAACATCTGTCCCTGGTACTGATTTCTGAGCTGTTGGAAAGCTGATAACAGCAGAGCTAGAAATACGTTTTCTGCATAGCTGAAAATCATCTACACCAGACAAATTTTACGTGTACTACCCATAGCATGGACCATACTATTCAGAAACCATTGCCATTATTTTTGTTATTCTTCAGAGGTGGCAACAGTTAATGTAGCAAAAACATTCACATACACCTATGTATAAACCCAGTACATGGACCGGTGCAGGGTAGATACAGATATATGAGATATCACTCATCATATCAGATATACCTGCACAGCTCTTGCACTGACCTGCGTATGCAGGTGGTTTATCATAGTTACAAACAAGTGTGGTAACAACTGTAAGACATAACAACTTTGCCCACTGCCATAGAAATATAATGTAATAGACATACATACCTCTGATGGAACCCTGGCAGGCCTCGTAGAACTGGTAGCAGAAGTCGGAGCACATGATGGGGAGTGTGCGGCTGCGCTGGTCAGGGTTTAGGGTGTCTCCGGCATTGAAGAGGTACCAGGAGACGGGTGAGCACCGCGCACACTGCAGCTTACCCAGCATGTGGGCACACTCTGTACTCGCTACATTGGTCAGCTGTTAGTCCAAAGGGAAAAATTAACAAACAAAATCAACTGTCAGTCTGGATACAAAAACAAATTTCTTTGTTGAAACCATTGCATAATGTTTTGTTTTGTCTTTGTTGTGAATAACTAACCCATTACTTACAGAGTTATTCAAGTAACTCTAGAGTGAAAAAAAATGTTCAACATAATATGGGCCTAAGAAGTTGTTTTTTGAGCTTAGACTTTACTAAAATTACTAAAAGTTGTTCTGTACCCAACCACATATTGCTGTGCATTTCTGTTAGTAACTTTATGTGACGTAAGCCATCATGAAACTTACTGTAAACTTAAGATAATGACCACCTTATCACAAACTCTACTACGAGGCCAGATATCCATGCAAGCCCAGCTGCAGCCAGCACTCCGGAAGTACGTCAGAAAGTCAGAGTTGGTAAATTGTTCTGGCAGGCAGAGAGCCTGTGTGTGACCTTCCATATGCCACCGTGCCACCTTCCCTCAGTGACAGGGAAGAGTGGTGCCCATAACTTTATCCAAACTCTTTCAAACATGCCCTCATCAATATTTCAGGACACGCCGTGCCACGGCAGATGAAAGCAGCGCGACCCTTCCCCGCCTTGTTGCCCACAGAAATATTAGGACTGCCCCCCGCAGATATGAAAGCACCACTTCAGCTTGGGTCAGGGCGAGGTGCTGCACAAATGGCTTTAATCATCTCAGACCCATTCCCCCGGCGAGCGACCATCTACAATCGATGTCCATCTGCGAGAGTCTGCCCGTCTTCCCCCACCCAAGAGTAATGGAGACAACGCACAAGAGACGCAAAGAGCTGCCATTACGGCGGCAATCTTGCCCGTGCAACAGTTCCCAAAGATAAAGGAGAGCTGAGTGGTACCAAGGTGCAGGCGCTCGTGTTATCAGTACGGACAGATGGATGGTGGGGAACCGGTGCACTTCACTGATAAGTGCTGTGTGAATGCCATGTTTAAATTGTGCTCTCCCAGAAGGGATATCAGTCACCGCATTACCAAGAAGGCATGACGCTTTGCATTAGGCCATTGTCAGGATAAACTTGAAAACATGTTTGGACATAACATACTTCATGAAAATCTGACTTATCCTACTATTCCTGGCTCAGCTTTAAAATCTACTTTTGTACAGAAGTATGTTGACTGTATCTACCGGTAAATTACATGATAATTACACTCGAATGGATGACATAGTCACTTGACTTTTACAAAAAATATAATGGATAAGTTTGGTGTGTTTGCAGATCTGGTTCACATCAATCAGTATGAGCATACCTGATATTCAACCAACTGAATGCACAAATGCCATCTAAGGATCTATCTGCTGACATTTGGTATTAAAATTCTATAATTGCAAATATCTGTACATTGCTTTAATCTTCCATACCACAACACAGAATAATGCTAACTACAAATTCAAACTCTTTATTACAGAAATCAATCACTAAGCCTCAGATAACCTCCTTTGTTGCTGTACATGTTATGAAATATGCCGCTCGCAGTGTAGACATTATATCAGATACATGAACAATGTGCAGTTGAGCTAACATCATTTCTTATGCTTGGCAGCACCCCTTTTGACTTGAAGCTATTCATGACAAACCTACAACATTTACAAAAGCATGCCTAGAGGACTCAGCCAATAAACCACCACCACTACAGACACCGGCACCTGATTCTTATCTGAATGTACAACAAAGTGCAGTCATAATTCCTGGCAAAGTTGTAACTACGTACTTTCAACTAATCTTCTATAAGAGTAGTTGTACTGCATGTCTAACAGTAGATGTGAAAGCTCAGACATCATGCTGTTTTTGTGAATGTAGGTGAAGGCTGCCTTCAGTAGTAATGGATTATAGGCTCTGTTCTGTGTGTTATCTGTTGATGAATCAAGCATCAAAGCTTCAGGCTTAGGTATACTAATGAATCTGGGGTATAAAAAGAGATGGTATCTGAAGTGCTTGCCAGAGGCTGAATGAAATGCTATAGGAACAGAAGGTGAAAAGAATGCCAAATCTTTTTCAAGAGCCCAGATTAGGTGGAATGCATTAGCTACTGATTAAAGGATTACAGGTTTTCCGCAATGGATTATACATGGGTACGGAGTAGTTTTCAAATTTTATCAATGTATCCACATGTATAGTGTAACAAACATCTGTAAAAGTTCACTTTGAAAAGCATGGCTGTCCTTGAATAACCTTCAATAAAAGTTATGTTTCCATTGAGTACAGCAGTTGTTGAACCGGAGTATTACTAACAGTGTCACATCTGTTATAGTGCGCCCTGGAGACCCATGCACACGGCTGAATCAATGCCTCATTTACCACAATATTAAGGACTGTCACCTCGCTCTGTTCAGGTTAATCTAGTTGTTTAAAAACCTTGCTGTAAATTTTCCTGATGAACAACGACAGAGCACACTCTGCCAAGCATGACAATTGGTCAGTGACACATTACTGTGTCACAGTACAGCCGGAATAGACTATTAACATCTCCTACGGGATGTTTTTCCTTAGCTGCATGGCCAGACAATTTTCTGTAGTGCTTCCCTGACTGTAGAAAATTGATAGTGTACTGCAGGGGAGTTCAACTTTGAATTTAGCATACATGAAGTTCAGGGACAGCCTAGTATTTCCTTGGTACAAAATTGGGTCATTTTCCTTTAAATCTTCTTATTCAATTGCTTTCAAAGACATACACAATTTTCAAAGTGAAAGTTTCACAAGTTAGAGAAAAGACTTGCATTGTTGTGTAGAAGTGTGGATACATGAGGCAAAGCGAGTGCATGAGGCAAAGCGAGTCTTAGAAAAAGTTCTGGCATGTTTTATGGAAGAAGAAGGTCACGACACCCCATTTTTCTCCAAGCAAAGAGCCCTTATAAATTTATATTGAATCAATAGCTCAAATCAATGGGGGACAGCCCGAGAGAAACCAGATGCAGATGGGGTCATTTTTATCATGTGTGTCTTGACAGTGTTAAAACAATGGCAATTGTACAGTTCTTCTGGCTATCTTATAGTGGCAAACATCTAAAAGTAGTTATGATTTTAAAAGACCTCATTAATGTTGATGGATATTGTTACACAACTGTAAAATTTATCTATCTTAACGATATTAATATACATCCATCTGTCCACCCCTTTATTCCAGAAAAACTGACAACCAAATGCTTCCAAAACTCTGCCCACTCCATATATATTGCACACTCTAATTAAAATCTGGAACAAACAAATGCTGTAACCATTGGCTACAGAGAGCTGAAGAGGAGAGTGAACATAAGGAAATAAAAATGTAGCAAATGGGTATGTGGAGATTACTGTTACTGTACAGAATGGGCAGAGCTCCAAGATAGATATGCAGACTTGCATTTAACTTAGCTGCAGGGCAGGTTGAGAGTTGGCAGCAAAAACATGTAGACTATAAAGTTGAAAACGGATATTATATCATAACTTCATGATCATCACCTCAAACATATTTACAGAAAATCTTAAAGATCAATTTTTTTCATTGCAGTATTTACTACAGCATTTTGACTACAATGAACATGACTGGTATGGAAATATGAGATGTTACTTAATTTTATGCTGCGATTACCTTAGGTCATCTGTCTCTGTCGTTAGACGCATGTTTAACAACCAAGATAGCTGGTTCCAATCATAGCTATGCAATAATTTCACAATCGTAAAACGCAGCAGGCTGAAAAGATTTAAGTTGTTGACAATGAAGCATACGCGGCCGCTTTCCTCTGATATATATGCTCAGTCGTTCACGTCCAACTCATTTCTCATGTGAACTAATTTTCATAAAATTAATGCATATGGAAACTGTATGGACATGGTCTATAATCACTGGATGCAAAAGGCATTTAGACTGTTTCAACATTCAGACGTCGACATTGCTGTTGATTTTTAAATGAAAGTGCTACACATCTTGCAAGTGCTCATGGTGCATGCAAAATGCCTTCTACATATGCATGTTTCTAAAGTTGTCAATGAAGCGTGACTGATTTACTTTCCCACTGGCTATCAAAATATAGGATTTCATGTGCCTCAAACTTAAGAGCGGTGGGTCTTAAGGAATTAGATGTTGTCGCTTGCCATTTGTCTTGGAGCGCGGCATAAATCGGTTCTTCAGCGCATTTACAACACATTCCACACAAAATCAATACCCAACATGTACTAAATAACTCTGCCTTTCAATATACAGAAAGGCTGTTACTGCTGGGAGAATGATTTTGTGTCCTTGACTGAGCTTGAACAGCAACACACGCAGTTTTGGAGAGGTCTGTGTGGCTTAGATAAGCAGCACACTGGACTATTTGCAGTCCTCTCCACAGTGCTTTACCCTAAGGGTAATTCCATGGATAAAGTAGCTGGCGTCACTGTGACGGACAAAGACAGTTCTCTATCAGTACCATGGAAAACCACGTATTTGCATTTTGCATGCGCTGTTCTGTGACACATCAAGTAAGAAACGTGTGTCACTAACGGTTTGTCAAACACCCCTGACTTCAGACTTCTTAGCAAGCGGTTAGAAATATAAATTGGTCTCTTGTCAATCATTCTGAGCATTCTGATATTACAAATAAAGCTTATATATATTGCTCCCTGACTACAGTAGATCTAGAGTCTGACCTGTTCATAAAGGTCTGCTGAAGCAATCCTGGCTGCTATAGCTAGTTTCTTTTCAACTTTTACTGTATTCATCATATCATGATGTGCAAACCAAAACTTTGAAACACAATTCCGGCTGATCTGTCTGTGGCTTACCTTTGCCTCACAGTTTAAGTTAACATTGTGTGATACCGATAGAAACCGACAAAAATGGAAACTATTTTATTGATGTATTTTTCTGCTTTCACCCCTATACTCTTGAGGAGAAACCTCCAGCACTTTTGCCTGGAGGCATTTAACCTTCTCCCTGCTGTCTAACCCTCTGAACAATGCAAATTTAATGCTAAAAGGCCACTTCAGCTACGAAGAAG